TAATAAATTAACGAATTGTCAAGAAGTATTATTATAATCATTTTAAGATAGATCAATATTGAAATCACCCATAACGTAAATATGTTTATATGAGTTTGGTTTTAATTTGAAAAAATAAGGATGATAATTCATCTAAAAATAACATTAGGTCATTATCGGGTGGACGATAAATGACACAAACTAGATAGTTCAAATTATTAGAAATAAAAATCTCTACAACCAAAACCTCAAATGAGATAAAAAAAGACAAATCTTTTTTAACAGCAAATTTTAGGCCCTTATTAATGAATAGACCCACCCCACCACCAATATTGGTGACACGATTTTTATAAGCCAAACTAAAATTTGGTAAATTTATTAATTATTATTTATTATGATTATACAACCAAGTTTCACTAACCGCAATGAAATAAAACTTATTTTTACAGGAGTGAATTAAAATACCAAGTTCAGTCATTTTTTTAAAATAAATTTCTATTATTAACATGTAAGACTGAAAAAGAATCAGCATCAATAAACGAATCAATTTTCTCTGGCAAAAGAAGAAGACAGATATCATTAACATCATTCATTAAATTATTATCTGGATCAATTCTATGATTATAAACATAAAAATAATCATAATTTGCATTCTTGGTACCACCATTGGCACTATTTGTGTTGCTGTTGTGATTCATGATTGGGTTTAGAGAGGGAAGAGATTTAGATTTGGAGTAGTTGAAATTCCATCCATGTTGGAAAGTCTATCTCGGCCAGATTTACTATCTTGGAAACTTCATCTTTGGCAATATCATTTTGAAAGCTGTTGATTGTAGTTGAATAGTTTCTTTATTGACGTTTATTACTCCATCAGTAATACGTTTACGAAAAACAGGAAAAGAACAATCAATGAACTGCGATTATCATCATGGGAAATTACAGCTTCTTCGAAAATCGCTCTTAAGTTATTTTTGACACTCAGTTTTCCTGGGCATTCCTCACATCTGTGTAACATACATTCTAAATTTTAAATTTTAAATTGAAAAAAATAAAAAATATTGACACTTGAAAAACAATTTGTTTTGCCTGTTTTTGAAGTTGTTTTATTTTTCAAAGAAAGCAAA